GGGGGTGGACAGGAAGGAAGAGGGGATTTTTCTTTCTTTTTTCCTTCTGCAGTGCAGGGGGGGGGGGGTCAGGTGCTGCTTAGCCTGGCTGGAGGCCCTTGGGAGAGGCCGGCCAGAGCGGAGGCCAGGGTGGCAGCAGCCCAGGGGTGGCGTCTTTGCAGATGTGGACCAATAAGTGGGAGGCTGGGTTTCTGGCCTTCCTCCCCAGCCACCCCTCACCTCTCTGGCCTCCTCCGTGGGGCAGGGTCTCTCCCCCGTGTATTTCCCTCCCTCCCTCCCCCACTTGGGGGAGACCAGGGGGGGGCTTCTTGGTGGAGCAGTGGAACAGCCTTGCCGCCCCCCCCATCTCCTCTTGGAGAAGGGGCACCTTCTTCTGGGAGCAGCTCTTGTTGGGATTCGGAGAGGCCCTTGAACTCCCCTGTCGAGAATAGATGATTGTGGAGGCCCCCCCCAATAAGCCTAGCACAGGGGTCTCCCCCCCTTCCCGCTTGAGTCTTGCATCCAGTTCTCCCCCCCCCTTGCCTGCTTGGGCCCCCAGTGTTCCATCTAAGCTGAGTGAGGGCGAGCCGAGCTCAATGTAACTTCGGACTCAGGGCGGCTGGGGAAGGAGGGGGCTGTCCGGAGCGAAGGGATGGATGCAGCAGCCCAGTCAGTGGCTGGCAGCTTTCATGCCAGGAGGAGGAGGAGGAGGAGGGTTTCTGCTCAGGAGACGCTCCAGAGCTTGGAGAGGGAGCCTGGCTCCTCAGGCCCATTTTCTTTTCTTCTGCAGCCCGGCCGCGGGGCGGAGGCCAGGGGAAAGGTATTTGCTCGCTCCTTGTGGCCCGGGCGTATTTACATTTCTGTGCTGCAGAGGGGCATGGCGGAGGGGATTGGGTTTCTCCGGGCGCTCCTGTTCCCACCCTTCCCCCCCCGGGTCAGCGCAGCCCCTGCGCCGGGCCCCTTCCAGAATAATTATCTGGGGCTTATTGTGTGGAAGGGGCTGATGGGATGGAGGCAGGGCCGGCCGGCCGGCCAGGAGCACAAAGGATGGAGAGGCGAAGGGGGAACATTTGGCCTGCCTGTCTGCCTGCCTCCCCCCCCAGAAATCAGTCTCCTGGGCTGGCCAGCCCGCCGGGCAGCATCCTCCCTGCCCTTTGCAAGGAAAGCGCCCCCCCCCAGCCTGCCCTGTTGGCGGCGGCCAGAGTTTCCCTTCCGATCCAGGGGAGCCCCCCCGGAGTTATTCTGACTTTGCAAAAAACGGGTGAAAAGCCAAAGCATCTCCCCACTACCACCCCCACCCCCTGGCTCTTCACGGAAGGGTGGTTCTCTCTCCCCACCCTTTATCAGTAGTAGGCTTTGGGGTGGGGGGGGTGGCCTCTCTGCAGAAGGACAAGAGAAGCCCCCCCTCCCCCCCAAGGCCTGACCTCGGATTCCTTCTTAATTTTATCTCTCCCTGACCTGTCCGCCTTCCAAGGCCTCTGGCGCTTCACAAACAATGGCCAGGAGGGAGGGAGGGGGCTTCCTGAGGGTAAACAGCCCTCCCTGGGAGAGAGCCCCACACCGCCCCCTTGCACCGCTGCTGCGTTTGGGCTGGGCCACCCCCACCACCTGGAGCCTTTTGGGCTGGCGAGGCTGGCTCTCGAGGGCCGCGTGGACCGGCCAGTGGCTCCCCAACGGAGGGCTGGGTGTGGTTTCCAAAGAGCACAGAGATTTCCCCGTGGCTGGAGAGGACGCTTAGGGCTCTGCTTTCTGGTAGGCTGACGTTCATCTGGGGCAGCATGGAGATGGCTGCCCCTGCTGGACTCCTGCCTGCCTTGCCGGGGCTTCCTGGGGAGAAAGCTCTTCTCGCCCGCCCCCCCGCCCGCCCCCGTGTGGCTGCAGTTTGGGGTTTTCCCCGGGGAGCTCGAAGCCGGCAGTGCGGAGATGACAGGGGAGCAGCGCCCCCTGCCTGGCGTCCTCAGCTGCAGCCACCCGGAGACCCGGAGACCCAAGGGCCGTTTTCGGAGGAGGTGGCGGCGGCGGAGAGTCACACAGAGCTGCAGGGAGGCAAAGACACCCCCCCCTTCCCTGCTCCTGCGCCCCCACGTGGCAGGATGCGGGGCTGAGGTGGCACTCCCACGCTGGATCCCTTCCAGTCCGGCTTCCGCCCGGGTCACAGGCCCCGGAGACGGCCCTGGTCGCCCTCACGGATGACCTCCGGGGCGGGAGGGCAGTGCCGCACGCGGGGATCCGGGGGCTGGCCCTGCAATGCCTCGTCTCCTTTCTCCAGGGTCGGGGACAAAGGGTGGCACTTGGGGAGCAGCAGTCCCGGAGGCACCCACTGACTCGTGGAGTGCCCCAAGGGGCCGTGCTCTCCCCAATGCTATTTAGCATCTACATGCGCCCCCTTGCCCAGATTGCCCGGAGGCATGGACTTGGGTGCCACCAATAGGCAGATGACACCCGGCTGGGCCGTCAGTCTGGCCCTACCCCGGAAGATCTGTCTGTAAGCCGCCCTGAGCCGCTCCGGCGGGAGGGAGGGAGGGAGGGAGAGAACTCTAATAAATAAATACTGAGGGGCGGGCCTGCTCCTGGTGAGCGTTTTGACGGGGAGCCGGGGCCATTCAGTGGTCACAAAGCCAAAGTGTTTCTCTCCTGGCCTCTCATGCGATCCAGAAGCAGGTTGTGCCCCGCGGCATCTCCTCTCAGCAGCTGGTTCTGGCGCCTTTGGCGTGCCCCAGCGGAAGCCCCCGGGCCGAGGGGCCGTCTGCGTGTCTTTCGGCAGAGGGAGGGGGCCAGGCCGGCCAGAGGAGCTCCTCCCCCCCTTCCTCCGTGGCTCCGTCCATCCGTCCGCGAACTCTCCCGGCTCTTGCCTTTCCAGATCCACGAAGGAAGTACCACGTCCGGCTGCTGGCCTACAACAGCTTGGAGGAAGGCTACCAGGCGGACCAGACCGTCAGCACCCCGGGATGCGTCTGTAAGTCGGGGGGCTCTTCTAGTCCCAGCTCCTGACCTTGAGCCAGTTTGCCTCAGTGCTGCCGCCACGGCCCTCTTTGCCTTCGGGAGCCACTCGGGAGCCTCAGTCGTCCCGTGGGGCCTCGTGCCACGAGTGCAGTCGGGGGAAAGTATCAAGGCCCCCCACCCCACCCCCATCCCTGAGTCTGGGCCTGTGGACCTTCTCCCCTTGCCCGGCTCCTGGTCCCCTGGGGCTGAGCTCTGCTCCCGTCCGCCCTGGGAAGCGTGCGGGGGGGGGGGGGGGGGGGGGGCAAGCCTCTCGGCTCCTCTGCGGTTCCTGAGGGGGTCCTGCTCTCTCTCCCTCCCTCCCCAGCTGTCCGGGACCGCCTGGTGCCGCCGCCGCCTCCCCCTCACCACCTCTACGCCACGGCCAACACCTCCTCCGCCATCTACCTCCACTGGGGGCGGCCGGCCTTCACCTCCGCGCAAGCCATCAACTACACGGTCCGCTGTAACCCGGTGGGGCTCCAGAACGCCTCCTTGGTCCTCTACCTCCCAACGTAGGTGTCCTCCTGCCCGTCGAGCCGTCGCACCTTCTCCCTTGTCCCTTCCTGGGCCTTGCCAGCGTCGGGTGCAGGAGTCTGCAGCGCTTGACCATGGGTGCTTCTGGCTGCGGGGCGGGGGGGGGCTGGATCGCTGCCGGGGCGCTCTGCCTGCCCGTGGGGATGTCGTGGAGCCGGCTCCAGGGGCTTCCCGCCTGCCATCCTCTGCTCGCCACCCTTGGTCGGGAGCGGGAACCGCCTGGGGCGCAGCCCGCCTCTTCTGCTCCGTGTCTCTCCCCCTCGGCGGCATCAGACTTCCGCCCGTTCCTGAGATGCTTCTCAACTCCTGAACAGCAGCGACAATTTTAGCTGTTGGGCGCGACACGTGTTTCTAAGCAATCCAAGACGTTGTTGCTGTATGTTTTAAGCCAGAGGAATTGCCGAGAGACATTGAGCAGGCGTTTTATTGTGCCCTTCGTTGGGAAGCAGACAAGGAATTGGCCGCCAATCTATTGTGTTACTCTTTGTAGACGAGCTTTGGGCCCAAAGGGGACCCATCCAGAGTCCCTGGGGAAAAGAGCCGTTACACAGTCCTACAAAACAGCCCACTGGCGGGGTGCTGCCCAGTCGACAGGCCTCGGTGGGCAGGGAGAGAGAGCTGTGGCCTCGGCCTGCTTCCCCGCGGAGGTCCCCTGGGTGCCAGGCCTACCGACCGTTCCCGCTGGGGAGGAGGCGGGGCGGAGGGCGGTTTTTCCTTTCTGGTCTTCCTGGGCGCCTTGCACGGGGCAGGCTTCAGACGGGGCCCTCTGGCTCAGGCTCTTCTCCCCTCGGCGGGCCTCCTGCCCTTGGGGGCGAGCGAGAAGGCAGGCGCCCCTCCGCCCTCCGTTGAAGGAAGGGCCCAGCGACTCTTGCCCGCTCCTCGATCCCACGCATCTTGTCTGGGTTGCTGCTCCCGGGGTCACGGGGCTCTCTTTGCCGTGCCACCTCCCCAGGTCAGAGACCCACCTGCTGATTCAGGGGCTGGAGCCGAACACCAAGTACGAGTTTGCCGTCCGGCTGCACGTGGACCAGTTGTCGAGCCCATGGAGTCCGGTGCTGTACCACACGACGCTTTGACGCTTCCAGAAGGTGAGGCTGGTCAGGTGCGCATGCCGGGTGCTCTCCCTTTTGGCAAGGGGGTCCCACTAACCCTGGGTGGCTCCCCCTGCAGCACCCTCCGCCCCCCCACTGGGAGTGAAGGTGACGCTGATCGAGGAGGACACCGCTTTGGTCTCTTGGAAGCCGCCGGACGGGGAGAGGACGGTCGTCTCCCGCTACACGATCCTGTACGCCTCCCGGAAGGCCTGGATTGCCGGAGACTGGCAGGTCTTGCACCGAGAAGGTAAGCCTCAAAAGGGCAGCCGTGGCGGTCCGTGGTCGCGAGCGGAAGCCCCTTGGCAGCTTTAGGACTCTGACCACGTGGGTCCCAGCAGGAAGGTGTCATGAGTCAGACGTAGCCTCTTCGCTCGCATACAAAACTGACTTTTGATTTATAGGCAAAATGCCAGTGTGGGAGAGGAGGAGGAGGAGGCCTCTGTGGATCCTCCCGAAGTCCCAGGTCCTGCGTCAGGGACTGGGGTGGGTGTGGTTGTTGGAAGGCAGGTCTTCTCCGGAAGGCGGCCTTAGGAGTGTGGGGTCTTGGGAAGAGCTCTTTTGTGGCGTTCAGGTTTCTCTCTTCATGAGAGGCAGTCTGGTGCAGTCCTTGCTGCTTGCCCTGTCAGACCAGGAGGCCCAGGGGGAAATCCCCGCTTAGCTGTAAAAGTCATGGGAGAAAGGTTTTCGTTTTCTACAGGGGAAAAATGCCGATACACCCAGGACTTGAGAGAGGGAAAACACAGCGTGCCGCTATAGCACATAGATCTTTATTGTTTGCCTTCTGGTTTGAAGGGAAAAAAATAAATAAAAGTTGAAGGCAGAAAATAAATTCTGCGGTAAACAAAACCAAACGTGTCATTTGAGCAGAAATGTTCCGGCATGGAGCTGCAGCAGGTCGGACTGCCGGCGTCTCTGGATGGCATTGAGAGCACTGAGTCCTCTTTCATAATGCATCCTCATTAAACACGTTGTAGCATTTTAATTGTTTGCCAAAAGCATTTACTTTGTTTTAAAAATGAAAATGCGGCATACATCTACAATGTCCTTAGGGAATACTAACCAATGCTGTAGATTGTCCTCCATAAAAATGTTCGTACTGCTTATTGTGAGCGAAACCTTGTCTTTCAACTCACTCATTCCAGAAGGGGAAAAGAAACACACTGGCATGTCTGTCGTTGTGCCCCCAAAATTTCCCAATTTTACCATGGAAAAAAACTTGGAAAGGTCCTGAGACTTTTTCATGCTATACATTTTGGGTGAGTGAGAGTTTGTTAAGATAAGGTTTTTCTCACTCAAGAGAGAAAACATTTTATAGGAAGTTTTTTCCCTTGAGTGTTCACCAAAGTTTCCAGATTTCTCCATCAGAAAAAAAATGGTATGAAGATCCTGAGGCGGAAGGGGGGGAGGGCTTCACCCTCATATTTTCCTCATCTCTAAGCCGAAGAGAGCATCCGGGGGGGGGGGGCACGCCCTGACTCGTG